AAGTTCATGTAGAAGGCAGGAGTGGTAAGAACCAGTCAGGGCATCTGGATGCCTTACTCTTTTTGCATGCTGGCTGTGGAGGTCTCTTGGTCGTTGTCTGAACTTCCTTTCCTCCTGAGTAGATCTGGATATGGACAACAATGTTTGCATCACAAGATGTCGTGAGGGACAATGGGATGATGCAGGAAGAGAAGCGCTTTGTAAACTGAAGTGTGAGGCTCGCTGCCATGGCCTGGGCTGCTGCTTGGAGAACTGTTAATGATACGTTGATAGCTTTCAGTCCAATTAGCCAAAATGATAGAAGCAGAAATGCCAAACATCTGTTACAGTGTTTACTCCCAAAAGAGCTCTCTTTTTTTGGAATAGGAAAATTCAGCTTGCTCTTTTTTTTTCTCCTCAAAGCAGAAATGACAGCATTGATGACCCACTTCCCATGCCTCTCCATGTAGATGGCACCTGTATTTAAGATGGCTGCCTTGTAGCCCCTATCTTGGCGTGACTTGAGATACTTGAAGGAACCCATTTGTTGTACTTTTTCTTTAGCATCCCCAATTTAAAACCGGTCCCCACGGTGAGACCAGGACTCAGAATAGTAATCTTGAAACCGGCTGTGAATGGATTGTCAGGGGCACCCTTAAGACTTAAAAAAAAAAGCTGTATCCTTTTTCTCCTGCTTTGCTGTTCATGCATAGGGAACACATTCTCATCACTATTTTGGTGACTGTGCCCGGTTCTGCCTCTCACACACTTTGCTACGTTGTCAAACACATTTTAGGGAGCAATTAAGACCTTGACTCACTGAAGAATATAAGCTCAAGCAAGCAAAGGCACTCAGGGTGGTGTTCAGGTTTTCTGGGAACCCTGAGAACTTGCCTTTGGTGTGAACCAGAAACCTAATAAATAGCACTTGAGGGCTGAGTTCAGACAAGAGGCCCACAGTGCTCTGTGTTGAAGCATCTGCGACAGGGGGAAAGCATCCACTTCTGCCATCCCATGGACTCCGCTCAGAAAATCAAGCTCAGGAAAGATGCTTCGTCCTGTTCTCACCCCCTCTGGCTGCACGCAGAGCACTCTGTGTGGTGCTGTTGACCTCTGGTGACCTTACCATGTCCTGGAAGCACAGATTTAAGCCAGGTAGAGACTCTGCTTTCGCTTCTCACTGGGATGCAATTACAGCTGCCGAGTGATCTGGTAGCACCTGTGGTCTCCCCATGTTCCCATGTCAGGTATCTGTGGCCAGTCTCCTGTCCAGTTCTCCAGCCTGGGAGGGGAGGGGCCAAAGGCCTGGGGTGGGCTTGCCCCTGGCTGAGGCACTTGTCTAGCACCTGTACACAGGTATGCTGAGTCCAGTACATGTCTGTGACTTCTGTCAAGAAGGCCAGGTTGGGGAGACTGAAGATACTTTTTGAAAATACAGTTATCCCTGATATATGCATCAAATAATAATTGGCAACAAAGAAGATAGAATATCACTCATGAGACAAGTTTGTAGTATGGGCCCTGGGCCAGCCTGTCCATAAAGTGCTAGGAATGCACAGTTGGGTAAGATGGACCTGCAGGAAAGTGAGTAGAAATGGACATAAAGCAGGTATTTGAAAATCTACATGAAACATGAAACGGGATTACAGTTTGGTGGTATCTTCTAAAACTTGGTAGAAAAGATACAGTGATGGATGAGATGGTGGGTTTGAATTTAATTAGTAATGACAGTGACAGGACCTTCTGAATACCAGCTTGTTGCCAGCCATGCTTTCATCTTAAGGCTTTTCCGCCTGTCATTAAAGTAGTTAAAGTGAAGAATATAAAATGAATTTTAAAGTATTACTTTACCTGTGAGCCCATTTCTGCAATGCCTTATGGTCCTGTCCAGTTGAGCCTCCTGTTTATCAGCAGTGCCCTGGAGTCCTTATTTATCCCCCACCCCCGGTAACTTTAACGTCCACCAGGTTCATGTTCCCCAGAGAGGTGGGGCAGCCAAGGGATGCTGGCATTGCAGGGAGCTTCCACAGCCCCCCAGGGACAGGCTGCACTCCTCCCCTCTTGCTTCAGGGGTGACCCAGAAGAGTGGGACCTGGGACCAAAGTGAGGTGAGATGGTAAAGCCTCATCAAGACTGACTCCTGGAGTCCACGGAACACGAAGGGCCTCCACCACCTGTGTTTGCGGTTCCTCTAGCAGGGGAGGGCTGGAGCTAGGGACTGGATAGGGATTTGGCGCCTGGTGGCTGGGCTCAGAGGAGCGTGTGTGGGGTTCAGAATGCAGGGCTAGGACGTTGTTGTGGCCAGGACCTCTGTGAAGTGTGTTTGGGGAAGGAGGGACTGAGAGGCTGGAAGTGTGTGCAGGGGCAGGTGGGTAACTTGTGCAAAAACCTAGGAGAGACATGTAGTTTCAGTGAATATGAGATGGTAGGGAAGGATGGAAAAGGAAGGTTTTAAAATATTCTGGAGGTAAGATAATTTGGGGGGTGGATAGTGAGGATCCATACTTACTGAGCCTTCCTGAGTCCCAAGCAGTGTTCTTCTAAGTGCTTTCATGTATTAACTCATTAAAAGGAAAACTCTGTTGACTAGCCCCATTTCACAGCACTAGGTAGTTCAGTCACTGGCCAGAATACTAAGGGCTTGGCAGGGACTTGAACCTGGTAGGCTGATGCCCAGGCTCATGAAACAGGGCATGAGAGAAAAGATTTTTCCCAAAGTAAAAAGTAATAGATTTCCTTTTCAAACCTTTTTTGTTGTTGTTGTTGGAGACAGGGTCTCTCTGTGTTACCTAGGCTGGAGTACAGTGGCACAATCACGGCTCACTGCAACCTCGACCTCCTGGGCTCAGGTGATCCTTCCACCTCAGTCTCCCAGGTAGTTGGGACACAGGTGCATGCCATCATGCCTAGCTAACTTTTTTGTAGAGATGAGGTCTCACTATGTGGCCCAGGCTGGTATCAAACTAACTCCTGGGCTCAAACAATTATCCCACCTCCCAAGGTGCTGGAATTACAGGTATGAGCCTGGCCTATTTTTCTTAAAAGGTTGAATGCAATCCATCTCACCAAGAAATAGCAGGTTTTCAGCATCTCTTTTTTAAAAATGGAAATAGTATTGCTTACAGTCACCACTTTTGCACATTTTTCTATTGCAAACAGGTTTATTCAACGTTAAATATATCTTTCATAAAAACAAGTGATAACCCTTGGCAGGAATTCTGAATGACACTGGGCGCCATTCAGAACACTTTGTGTCAACTTGTTACTCCTCACCTGTCAAGACATTCTCCCATTTTATAGCTAGGGACACTGAGGTGGAGAGAGGTGAATACGTTACATGAGGCCACGTGGCTGGTGTGTGGCAGCACCAGTATTCAGACAGAGCTAGGCCAGTGTCAAGAGTTTGTGATGGGACCATTAACAGATGTGCCACACCAGGGAGGGAATGGGGAGATGGGGAGGGTGGGTGTCTGCCGTGTGTCAAGTGTTTCCTAGCTCATTTTGTGTTCACACCAGCTCTGCCAGAAGGAGAGCTGTGATTTGGGAACCTTAAGACGTTTCAGATCTCCCTGTGGCTGGAGTGGCTGGATCCTGCATCCTGACTGGCCTGGTTGTGTCCCCCTGTCCTCAGCGGCTCTTCACTTGATTGTTTTCTATAGACTCTTTTCAGTGATGAGGAGACACCAAAATGAGAGTTTATCTGTTTTAACATTGGGAGGCTTTCTTTGGGGGCTTGTTATGGAGCAAGCTGAACAGCAAATTGAACCAATGTGCTGCCTTTTTACATCAACATAGGTGTGAGTGTGAGTGTATGTGTGCGTGTGTATGTGTGCATGCACACTTGCAGCATAGGGTCAGTCTCTCAGCCAGCCCATTCTGGCCACAGAGGATAGCTGCCCCTCTGGAGGGCTTCAGACACTTCTTGGGGTCGGGGTGGGGACTCTCTGCTTCTCGGGCACTGTAGTGGCCTAGACCCAGGTTTCTAGGAGGGAGGGTGCCCGTCGTGCGGGAGGGAATCAGATGTGGCTCTGGGTAGCAGAGAGCTGGCAGCCTCTGGGACCAGTGGGGGGGCTCTGACAGCATTGTCCTCTGGGGTCCAGTTGTTTGGGGGGTTAGACAGGGTTTCTTGAAGGCATCTGCACAGAGGAGCCCAAAATGAGAGCTAGGATCTGATATGATCCTCTCTAATCATTCAGTCTCCATGAGGGTTATCACTAGGCAGACTCGAAGGCCAGAGTCTCGAAAGGTGTTTTGTCTCTGGAGAAGGCAGAGGAGCCCAGGTGGAGCCTTCCCCGCTGTGCAGAAAGGAAGGCCTGACCGTCTGCAGCACTGTGGGCAGTTTTGGGCCCCTCCCATGCCCACTGTCTTTCTTCGTCCTTCCTGTTCCAGCAGAGTCCCTGGTGGTTTCTCGCTAACCCAGCGTGGTCTCTAACGCCTCCTTGTCAGCCTGCTGCTCTGTCTCCACCTGTGCGGAGATCCCATCCAGTAGTTTCTGTCTAACCCGTGTGTAGTAGTCGAGCACCCTTCCCTTAATGTGAACTGTGACTACAGAAACACCATTCTCATGATGTTCTGTGTGTTCCTTTCAAGAACTGGGTTTCTCTTGAGGAGAATACAGGTTCTCAGTCCTTTCATTGACCAAGAGTTTGTAGACCAGGCACCTGTTCAGCATGAAAAACTGGTTTCAGTTTTGTGAACCCAACAAGAGAATGGCAATTTCATTGTTCTCGGTTTTCCAGTGAGTGAGAATACCTGAATTTACATAGAAAGCCTACATGAAAATTCCATATTTCTCGGCCATTGGTGACTAGAAATGAACATGGATTCTTAAAGACAAATATTTAAATCTAAGTTCAATTCAGTGGTTGCTGGAGACATCCGAAATCCACTCCTAAACACTGAGTTAGCTGCCTCCAGGACGACAGCCTAGGGTGTATTTTTCCACAAGCGAAGCCCACGTCTGTTTGCCCTCCTCACGCTCTGTTGTTCTTTTGTAACAAGGTTTTTTGTGTGTGTGGCAGGTGGCAGGTTCAAGAAAGAGATTGTTGTTGATGGACAGAGCTATCTACTGCTGATTAGAGATGAAGGGGGCCCCCCGGAGGCGCAGGTGAGTATTACACACATTGGGAGCCAACTTTTTCCTATTCTTTTTAAGGTTCTGATTCAACAGGTATTTTTAGAAATGAAAAGGGGGAGGGGGGATCCCATAAAGATGCCTCTGTGACTGCAGTTTTTCTCTCCTCTAAGAGAGTAAATCTGTTGCTTTTTCAGGCTGACTCCTAGAAAGAAGTTGGGTCTTTCCGGCTGAGTTTTATGCTTTTTGTGTTTTTGTGTTTTTAAGAAGGAAGGAAAAGTACTCTCTGTGCCCTGATTGTCAAGCCAGTTGACCTGGCATCTGGAAATTCCTGTAGTTTTGTTTATTTGGTTTTTGGCTTTTTCCTTTAAGTGATTTGCTCTCTGGAGCAATGAGATCATTTAGAAAGTTTGCTGGGTAGCATTTGGAGTCTCACTTTCTTTCTGTCCCTGACAATGAGGGGTTGGCATCTCCTTGCCTCTCTGGCTGTCTTGGCCCAAGGCAGTGTCCTTGGAAACTGATGTGCAGCATATTGTTATTTCTTTGAAAATTCCTCGAAAGATGGGCATTCTTGAAAGAAAAAAGTACAAGTGTGGAAAACCACCACCAGGGATGGTGGGTGGGGACCATGGGGGCGTTTCTGGGCAGGCTGTGGGGGCTGGAGGAGGAGCACCATCTCACCCTGAGGGGGTCCAGTAAGCCTCCCTGGACCGTCTGAAGAGGAAACTGAGCATCAAATGGAAAGCTTCGGGGTTTGAAAGGCTCTGGCAGAAGGGAGGGTTGACCTTCCGTTGGCAAGACTGCCCTGGCTTGGTCAGGGCAGAGGGTGGTCCTGCCAGGAGCAGGAAGACCCGGAGAGACTGTGCGGTCTGTGTTCTCTGAAGATAGAGTGGCCTAAGTGGGAGTAGGATAAGGGGTCTGTTCCTGAGAGGGGCACAAGACATGGCATGCCCAGGAGGAGGGCATTAGTGTTGCAGCAGCGTGTAACAAAAGTCAAGCATCCGGCAGGCCTGGCTGAGGGGGATCCCAGAACCCTTGCTGGCCTGTCTCCTGGGCTTGCAGAGACAATTCGAGACCCTTCGAGGCATCTCTCTCCTGGAGCCTTCTCACTCAGCCCCTGCTTTCCTCCCTTTCTCTCCTAGTTTGCGATGTGGGTGGACGCTGTTATATTTGTCTTCAGCTTGGAGGATGAAATAAGTTTCCAGACTGTTTACCACTACTACAGCCGAATGGCCAACTATCGAAACACAAGCGAGATTCCTCTAGTTCTGGTGGGAACCCAGGGTGAGTGATGTCCCTGCATGGACTGTTTTTTAAGGCGAGGAGTCCAACAGTGGATTCGTGGCCTGTATTTTCAGTATAGAGGGATTTTTAAATGGTTTAAAGAAGGAATATGAAGACCCTGGGGAATTTTTCTGATGAAAATTTACAAAACTGAAATTAACAGTCACATTTCCTGGGCTGATTCTGTCTAGAAACTGAAAACAAAACAACCTGAAACAATCTGAAACAGCCTGAAAATAAAACACACCTAAATACACATCTCAAGGGCTTTAGCAAAAATAAGATCTATTTTCTCATGTTTTCTGTGTTTTAACTCTGTTTTATAAAATGATTTATAAGCCATTAAAAAGCTGATTTTAACTTCTGGTGCATCTTTAAAATGGCACTGATTTCTGACATATGGCAGAGTTTTGCTTTATTCTGTTTTATTTGTGTCTTAATTTTAATTTAGCAAGTCGCTCAGAGAGTATAGCATTATACTGGGCACGTTTCTTGTTTTCTTCCAGGTCACTTAAAACTTGTCTTGGTCTCTTAGTAAAGTGACCTTCATGTGGAATCAGACACAGCATCACAGCATCTTGTTGATCACAGATTTACGGTTGTGGTGGTATCTTTGGGGTCTAAGGTGTTGCATAGCATGTTTTTATTTCTTAGTCTTTTTTTAAAAGTACGTATCTTGATTGTGTCTTTTAGCATGTTTCAGTGTGTTAATGTCATATAATTTTAGGTGCTTTGGAGTTAAAGCCTTTTTGTTGGTTACATATTTTTTAATATGATATGGATTTTTCAGATCAGCCTGGACTTTAAGAGTGTCAGCTCAGTGGGTCAGCCAACCCAGCACCAGAGAGGGTCCGCTCTAGGGGCTGGTAAGCCTAGCCCTGGAAGTATTAACTCTAATGGACGGGCAAACCAACCCTGGGATTGTTACTGGTTTGGTGGGCTGGCAAGCCTAGCCCCTAGAGTGTTGGCTTTAATGGGCTGGCAAGCCAAACCCTGAGAGTGTTGCTAATTTGTGGGCTGACAAACCTGATCCCTAGAGTATGTCAGCTTCAGATTCTCGCCTTCTTCCAACAGCTCTCCCAGTTCTGCCGGCTCAGTTGACTGGCAAGCCAACCTCTGGGGTGCACTGCTCTTTGACTCCAGTGATCTTCTGCAGCTCTTCAGGTCGGGTTCTTATCTTGTGCCCAGGAGGAATGAGGAACACAGACAGCCAGAAAGTGAGAAAGCAGGATTTATTAAGAGGACAGAGAAGCTCCCGCAGTGGGAGGTCCCATAGAATGTTTTTAAAAATCGGATGAAGGGTAACTTTAAGACCATTTAGTCAGAAATATGGGTAACTTACAAGATAATTATGTCAAGAAAAAATATACTGTTTTTGCTAATTACTGTAGGATTAGCATATCAGGTATGCCTTTCACGCCTTTATTTAAGACTGTGTGTTGAGAGAAACAAAGTAGTACAAAATAAACTAGCATTTTCTTGGTGTGCTTGATGTAAAACATTAGAGTTGGGGGTTTTTCATGGAGAACAATACCCCCTCCACACTTTCATCTAAGCATGCACCTAATGGCCACTGGAAACCGGATCCAGGAGGGATTCTTTATGCCTATAGCACCTTCTAGTGGTCACAAGAGGCAAGGACGCACAAATGAAAAGTTCTTGGTCATGTATGCAGAGTTGTCGTATTTGGAATTAGGACTCAGAACGCTTTTTCACTGAGAACTCTCTGTGAATAGTGACAGTTAAACTCCCAGTCTGGACTGGAACCATCAGTATGGTCAGTTGTTCTCTCAATACACACTAGTGTTCTTCTGTCAGTAGGAAGTAAGGTGAAGTATCTGAGACCTCAGGTGTTGGGGCTGCACCCACTTGGGCATGACGAGCTATTGGCCATGTGCCTGTGGCCTCTACCTATTATGGTGCTGGTGCGTTAAACAGGAATTCCTGGAAGGTGCTCCATGCATCCATGGGTACATGATACTATCTAGTAGCGCTTGCTTTTGTTCCTTACATTTCAGTATATGGACAGTTTTACGAGACTGTGCTTGGTATCCAGAAGCACATCACTCTGTCCCAGTCACTGGAGATGTGCATGTCCCTTTGGGTCTTCTGCCTGAGCTGATGGGGCCCATAGTGCATCCTGCCAGGTTCTATCTGTGAAGGAGGCTGTGGATGACTACTTAGACACTTTGGGGAAACCCTAATGAAGTTAAGTGCCTGGGTTGAAAGAAGCTATCCCATTTATTCCCACTAATTCTATAAACATCTATTGATCTATTAGAGAATACCTAGGAAGGCCACAGGTCTGAATCAGGGAGTGCATGTGCGAGGGTGGCTCTCGAGGGGGAGCTGGTGAGCAATGACCGCACATCCACTTGTGAGGTTTTAGCCTTCTCACATCCACTTGTGAGGTTTTAGCCTGGCCACATCGCAGATGAAAGGAAAGGACTGTTCCAATTAGGGACCCTCTCCATCCTTGACCAGACCATGCAGTGCACCCTAAAGCTGGATGGCAGGAAGACGGCATGAACGTGGGCCTCTGAGAGTCTACCATGTGCAAACCGTTCTGTGAACCCTGTGTTCTTGGTGCTTTTGCGCTGGCTTCTCGGGATGCCAGAGACACAAGGAGGTCAGGTTATAGGGACAGGAACCCAAACTTTCCTTCCCTGCTGGTTGGGGTAGGTGACTTTAGAGGTCCGAGGTTATGGAATGGAAGAGAACTGAAGAAGAACCAAGTTCACTCCTGAAGGATACCTGTTATGCAGTGGGGTCTCGTCCAGGGTTAGGAGGAACAACCCTGCAGGAACGGGCTCTGGTCCTGGGTGGGGTTCGGGGGGGCGGTGAATGTTCGTCATTGGATAAGATATGACTGCCTGAGCTAACTGTGTATGTTTGTTAAACAGGTTCTGTTTTAAAGATTTGTTAATTAAATTGATTCAAGAGAGAATCGAATTTATAAAAAGTTACAGAGTGGAATGAAAAATGAGACTAGTTTAGAGTGGAAGTGTAGAGTGCAAGTCTAGAAGTCTGTTTCTGTGAAGGGACAGAAATGAACATGGTGTACCTTGAAGCTGAGGTTTGACAAGCATGGAGTGGGTATGTACTGCTGGAAACAGAGGAGCTGTGGAATTGTCAGGGGCCCCAGGCTAGGATAAAATGTAAGCTGGGTTGGATGCTCTGTGACCTGGATTTTCCAAAGTATACTAGAGTGTTTAAAAGTTAGATTTCTTTTTTTTTTTTGAGTTGGCGTCTCACTCCTTCGCCCAGGTTGGAGTGCAGTGGCATGCTCATAGCCACCTCAGTGTCGACCTGCTGGTCTCCAGCAATCCTTCTGCCTCAGCCTTCCGAATAGCCAGAACTACGGGTGTGTGCTACCACACCCAGCTAATTTTTTTTTTTATTTATAGTAGAGACGAGGTCTCGCCAAGTTGCCCAGGCTGGTCTCAAACCCCCAGTCTCAGGCAGTCCACTTGCTTTGGCCTCCCAAAGTGTTGGGATTACAGGCTGAGCCACCGAGCCTGGCCAAGTTATAGATTTCTAACTTTTGTCCTACAGTTTTCTTGGGGGAAAAAAAAAAAAATGGTTTCTACCTTAGGAAAAAAGTGCTTCTTTTCCTTGCATTTTATGAGATGCAAGTGAGATTTACCAATCTATAAGAGAAGAAGCCAGGACAAGGTGTCCTCTGACTAAATGGCGTAGTAGGAGTCCAGTCTGTGAAGGCTGTGCTGGTCATAAAGTTAACTTAACTTAGGATAAGCAAGGAATATCATCCCAAACTTATTTTCATGGGACTAAAAAGTAAAAGAGGAAAAAAGAAAAGAGAAGAGACAGGAAAAAACAAATAATTTCCTCAAGATGTCACTTTTTTATATGCTATAAAAAATGGAGTGCCCCATGTTCTTCCCACTTAAAGATAAATACAATTTAAGAGGTTGTTGTTACCTTGTATGACATTTTTGCTGTTCCTTTACTAGAGAAATTCTGTTAGTGGATTTTTGTTTGAAGAGTTGGTGATTGTTTTCTTTAGCCTTCAAGTTCTCTGGGAAAAAAAAAAAAAGGCTAGAAAAAAGCCTGAAAAGTGCCTGGCACATCACACCACAGCACAGTGGCTGCTAATATCTCAGCTCTTTCTTCTGTGTTACTGTAACCGGTAGTAAGGGAATGAATGGGGTGGGGCCAGGGTTGGGGAATTCTGGCAGTTGAGCTAAAAAAAAGAAAAAAGGCTTGGTTTCTTTTTTGGGAGAATGGGAGCTGATGTTGCTGCTCAGACACCCTCATCTGTGTACAGATGCCACAGGAGGTGGGGACTTTCCCCACCCAATCACCTGTGACCCCGAGAAGTTCTGTAAAAGCTCACTGCTTTTCTGCTTACAGCCCTTCTGGGGCTCCTCTCTCCATATACCTCACTCCTGCCCCTCTTATCCTCACCCCTGTATCTCCCTTAGACGCATCATGTGCCCTGCCGCCCCTCTTTCCCTAGGTGCTCTGCCCCAGGCATTACCTGGTTGCACCCCCACCTGCTGCAGGTAAGGTTTCCCTGAACACTTCCTCTAAACCATAGAGTCATCAAAGCCTCCTAGCCACCTTCCCTACCTAACTCAGCAGCATTGGGACTGTCTCACATTCACAGTCCCTGAAATTCATCTATTTCCTGCCTGCCTCCCTGACTAGAATATCCATTTAACAAGAATGCAGATTGTGACTGTTCTGTTCACTGGGATATCCCTGTGTGTGGAACAGGACCAGACTCCAAATGGGTCTCAGCATTGTTGGCTTTGTGAATGAATGAGTGGACCACACCTGGAAGGATAATTCTAATATGTGCAATGCACTTAGCAGTGTACTCTGAGCAAAGAAGGTGACCTGCAGATAGTGACTATGGTTTCTTATCTTTTTTCTTTTTCTTCTTTTTAAAGTAGTTTCTTCTAGAGCTATATTTAACTCTTATTCATTCTTTCTGGACATTCTTTTATGTCCGTTTCAGAAGCTCTTCTCTAAAACAAATTTCTAATAATGAATAATTAATTATTCTGGTGCTTAATATGATCATTTGGAAGGTAAACTATGTTTTAGAAGCTCTAACTTCTTAAAAGAAATGTACCTCTTCTGAGTAAGATGCAGGTAAGCAACTTGGGGACCTAATGTTGTGGGCAGTCGGTAGAGCTACTCATTGTCACTGTGTTGTTACTTTCTGGTCTTCTGTTCCAGATGCCATAAGTTCCACTAACCCGAGGGTCATTGACGATGCCAGGGCAAGGAAGCTCTCCAACGACCTGAAGCGGTGCACCTACTACGAGACGTGTGCCACATACGGGCTAAACGTGGAACGAGTCTTTCAGGACGGTAAATAAGCATTGCTGTGAATGTATTTGAACTTTATGATGCAGGAGGTGCCTCAAGAGGACAATCTCGCCCTGCCTGCAGGTCATCACGCATGCACATGGGTGGCAGAAATATGTCATTCGACATGAGCGGTTGTATTGAGATGGGAGCACACCATTTGAGAGGTAGTCCCCGGTCCTTTTCCACTTAAAATGATGCGTTTGGAAGAGACAGCCAGGCATCCCTTTGAAACAATCCTGTGATGGAGTCTGTGTGGCACGCTGGATGACCTTTTTGTGTCCAGGATGAAAAATTTCTTGAGCTATTGTTCATTCACGTGCTCTGTCAGATGTGCACCCGTGCCATTTCTACGTTGTAATTGCTCATTCTCAATCCAGTTCCATCCTTGAGAAAGGCTTAAATATTTGATGATGTTAGGCTTTGATGAGAATAAACTGAAAGAGTCAAGTTTGGACCAAAAAAAAAAAAAAAATCACTTGCTAGGATTCAGGGTGGAAAACAGGGCCCACATTTCGGAATTGTTCTTATTTTATTATGTTTGTTATTGATCACCCACCTCCGGGAACAACCATAAATCAGACAGGAAATTCTCCTAGAGAAGTGTCAGGATCTGCAGGGAGAGAAACATGCACATGAATGTTTTTAGTGCTCATATCCAGCTGTGAGTGGGACCATGACAGTGGGAGGTGGTGGTGGGTGGGGTGGGCTCTTGCTTCAGAGGTAGAAAAGTCTCAGGAGTAAAATGAGATTCTTTTTTCCTTTCCTTTTTTTTTGAGTTGTAGTCTCACTCTGTTGCTGGAGTGCAGTAGCATGACCATGACTCACTGCTGCCTTGACTTCTTGACCTTAGGTGATTCTTCTGCCTCTAACTCCCAAGTAGCTGGGACTATGGGTGTACAACACCATGTTAGGCTTTTTTGGGGGGTAGAGATGAGGTCTCGCTATGCTGTCCAGGCTGGTCTCCAACTCCTGGGCTCAAGCAGTCCTCCCAACTTGGCCTTCCAAAGTCCTGGGATTACAGGTGTGAGCCTTCATGCCCATCCTGCTGTGATTCGCTAGAGTTGGAAACTCAGGAGAAGCGAGGTCTGACAGAGTATCTCATTTCTGATGAGAGTCACGGGAAATCAGTCCTAGATTTCTCTCCTTTTCTGGTTCAAATTCATGGTGGCAGAGCTACCTCTATACCCCCTGCTCTGGTGCCATGGGGGTGTCAGGAACAGAGCAGGACAGGCATGCTTGGATTCTTCAGAGACTGCCAGGACTGATTGGAGGGAGAGGCCTTGCTGTTTGCTGACCCTGAAGACATATTGTTTATACCAGGAAACACAGTGATTATGGACTGCTCCTGCTGGCACTTCCTTTACACCTGGCCACCTGTACTTTTCTTTTAAATATTTAAGCTAGTTTTCAGATGAAATTTTAGGAGTTCTACACTTTCACTATTTTACTAAATTCCAAAGATTGTGTCAGTTTTTTGTGTCTGCATCTTCCCCTTTCTTATCCAGGTCTCTACCTCACAGATAATTGCCTATTTTTTAAGCACATTTCTCCTCTTTAAAGTCCTTCACACTGCACGTTTCTCAGCACCTTTTCCTGTGCCAATTCTGAGAAAACGCAGGATCCCTGAGAAACAACATGAAGTGCCCAGGCTCCTACAGCCCCCTCCTTCCATTCACCTTTGTCCTGGGCGCCGTCGTGCCGACTCTGTTGAGGGCATGTCCTGTGGGTAACAGACCTTCATTCCAAACCTGGGGCAGGCCCACACCATGCCGGTGTCTGCAGCTCCTTGAATGCCAGGGACACTTGTGAAGAATTGTGCAAGGAAGCACATGGCGTTCTTCCAGAAGGTGGGCCCTCACAGGGCAGGGTTACTGTTTGCTCTTGCACAGCCCAGTCCCTGTGAGTGTTAAGGTGAAGTATTGTAGGTGATGGATCCTCAAGCTAGCACCCACAGGCCAGGTCAGGCCAGCTGCCCCCCGTGTTCTTTAAATAGACATTTCTTGATAGGTAGTCATGCTCATCTGTCTTTATGGGTTCAGGTTCATGTTGCTCTCCAGTGTAACAGCAGATTTGAGTAGATGCAATGGAGACTTTATGGTCGGTGAACCCCAAAATATCCTCTGGCTCTTTACAGAGAGTCTGCCCATTCCCAATGTCAGTGATCAGAGCTTAGTTGTATGGGCAGGTTTATTCTCTACAATGATTGCTTTACTTTTACATTGATCGTGGTCAGCAAACATGAATTTTCCATAAATTAAAGGGACTCATAAAAATAATCTTACAAATTAATACTGGGGATGGCACTTCCTGCCAAGTATCCTGTCTTAGTCCATTCTGTCTGCTGTGACAGATTATCATAGACTGAAGGTCTTAAAAAACAGCCATCTATTTTTCATAGTTCTGGAGGTTGGGGAGTCCAAGATCAAGGTGCTGGCTTACCTCTGGTGTCTGGTTTGCTGTGTATCTCTTGATGGCTAGCAGAGAGAAAGGAGGCAAGCTCTCTCCTGTCTCTTCTCATAAGGGCACTAATCCCATTCATGAGGGCTCCACCTTCATGGCCTAATCACCTTGCTTAGGCCCCACTCTTAATAGCATTGGGGGTTAGGATTCTAGCATAAGAATTTGAGGGAGGGGCCATGAATATTTAGTTCATTCTACATCCAGAATGTTTGAGGCAGTGGACAGGCAGCCATCTGTGTATTGGAAGTATTTAATTTTCTTCTTCAAGTTGGGGTGTTGGTGAGGGGAGAATGAGGAGTAAGATTTCCAAAGTTGTCATTTTAAAATATTAAAGTGTTTCTACTGCTATGATAACTCACGTGGTACCTCCTCAAGTCATGCTTTGATGAGTGTCAGTTTTCACAGGCTTGGGAGAGTTCTGTTGCATTTTTTATTTCTTGTCTTAGAAATAATATGTTCCTATCAAATATTTAGGCTTTACGGAATTTGAAAAGGAAATAATACCTATCATGCTATAACTTCTGTGACTCTTGTGGTTTTTTTTTTGTCCTTAGAATATTTTTATTTATATGAGGATACATTTTTAAGATAAAAATAGGGTTACTATTCTTTTTTCTTTTTTAATTGTAGAGACTCACTGTGTTCAATTGATTCTCCCACCTCGGCCTCCCAAAGTGCTAGGATTACAGCCATGAGTTACTGCACCCAGCCTGCCCTGTGTATTTTATATGTAAATTATATGATATATATTTTCTTATTTATATATTTTTTACTTAAATCACAAACTCTAATTGTTAGTGATAAAAGTAGTTGCCAACTAAGTAGGGACTTTATTCGGTACTAGCCATCCTTAACAACAACAAAGTAAAAATCCTCAAGGCAAATAAAATTTGTAAAGTTTATAGTTAAAGAAATTAAGGCTCTGAAAAGTTACATAACTTGACTAGAGGTACACAGCCTGGATTGGTTCCCTCATTCTGGGACCCAAGGACCTTGACTTAACCACAACACAACCAATGTTTTCTCTTTAAAATGGAAGCAAACCAGATCCTTGGACCTCGAGGCCACGCTGGCCCTTCCACAGGCCTGGGGGAAGGCCACGATGGCTGCACCCAGCCAGCAAGTTCACTGCTCACTCACCAACTCGGTTGATTTAGACTCTTCTTTTGACTTTCTGGCTCTTTTATGCCCTAGGGCTTACATTTACTTTTTAAAAAATACCTTTTTATCGTAGAAGGAGAAAATAATAGCTTATAGTATCTATGTAATATTTAGCTTATAAATAAAAGAAAACAAGCCAGACGTTTGCACCTGCCCTTGCAGAATCCATGTTCCTTGTTGGCTGGTGCCTAGGTTTATTTCAGAGGCCAGGAACCTTACTCTTTACATCTTTAACTTATGGCTTTTTAGTCAAAAGTCTGTTTCCTGAAACCATAGGAAAATTGCAAAATGAATGACTTAGCGTCGTGTCTGTTTATGTTTCTTTCTTTTTTTTGAGTTGGAGTCTCACTCTGTCACCCAGACTGGAGTGCAGTGGTCGCTCCCGGCCACCGCAGCCTCGACCTGCTAGGCTCCGGCAATCCTTCCATGTCAGCCTTCCGAGTAGCTGGAATTACAGGCATGTGCTACCATGCCCAGCTGATTTTTTGATTTATTGTAGAGATGAGGTCTCGCTGCCCAGGTGGGTCTCGAACCCGCGGGCTCAGGCAATCCACTCACCTCAGCCTACGTTTCTTTCATTCACATAGTTGGAGGGCTACTAGCAAGTGGCTTTGAGGTAGCTGGCAAGGAGGCTCTCTGTTAGTGTCAAGTATGAGGAAGCAGGCTGGTTCACTCACCCACTCACTCATTCATTTGCTCTTCTGAGTGCCAGTTTCCCATACTGTGTACATCTGCTTGGGAGGTAGAGGCAGATTAGGAAGCATAAGGAGGGTCCTGTCCTTCATGAAGTTAAGATCCAATAGGGAGGCTGAACATCAGTTACATAGACACATAGACTTGTATCTTGCCCAGGGTGGAGAAGAATTGTGGCAGACCAGGCTTCCTTCTGTCGGCCCTTCTTAGCAGTCTGAGAGCATCCTTGCTCCTGCTTGCTGGCAAGTTCGTGTGGCAGCATGATCTGGCCTCCACAGGAGATTCCTTTAAGATTCATCTTTAGAGAATTCATATACTCTCTGTCTCTACCTGACCTAGGCAGTTGAATCTGGTTGAGACCTGCTTACCCATCTATCTGTCTGGGTTCCCAGCAAAGCCCTGGGGGCAGCGGTCCCACAGACTCCTTCCTACGTTCCCCCACAGCCATTGTCTCTCTCTTTGTGCCTGCAGTGTCTGGGAGATTAACTATGAATAGGCTTATGCATTTTTAAAACTTAAAACGGTGGGTTTTGTGTTTGGCACTAAATGTTTTAAAAGTCCTTGGTCATTTGCTCTCTTAGGTCCCAGGTGTGTGAAGATAAAGGATTACAGAAAAATAAAGTTCATTCTTTTGTAGACATTGTTTCTGTGGTGCTATGAGTCTTTTAAAGAAGTTTCTCCCACTT